TTTTCATCTTGACACTTTTTTTATTCATGTAAAATGTGCATTTTTTATTCACTATGTTTTGCATGCAAACTGGGAACAAGTTTCAAAATCAAAATCCTTTTGGTACGAATTAGGGCTTATACTTTTAGCTTTGAAGTATGAATTATTTGAGCAATGAGGAAAACCTGAATAGTTAGTGTTAATAATGCATTTGTTTTGAGACTTTATACGGACAAACAATCTTAAATATGAAAATTAATCAAATATGTTACACCTACCATCTTCAATAACAACACCAGGTCCTATTGTAACATTTGGACCAATTTGGCAGCCAATGCCAATTTGTGCAGTAGGGTCTACCAGAGCATTTCCCACCACTCCAGGACCTGCATATAGTAACTCTGGACTTTTCTTTCGGAGACTACCCAGGTATAAAGCCATACCTAATCAAAATTATATAAATACTAATTTTATATTTTTAATTACATAATTTCTCACGATTTGTAAAGAAATTGACATTAACAATTGAAATAGGACATGAGTGTTGATATTACACTACTACGCAACTAACCAAAACATCTGCTTCATACAAACATTATTTGAAAACAAATAATAAGTCATCTCTAACCTGTTAAAAAATCTTTAGGTTGTCCAATATCCATCCAAAACCCTTGCAATTCGAATGCATAAAGTTCTTTATCTGAACACATTTTAGGAAAAACTTCTTTTTCAATTGAAGTTGGTTTTAACTCTATTCTTTTTAAAACACTTGGATTTAAAATATACATACCTAAAAAAATCATAATAAACTGCTTTCATTTATTTATAAAATGTAAAAATTTATGTACTTATGTAGAAACTATTTGAAGATTTGGTATATTAATAATTACCAGCATTGATTTTATTTGAAACAAATTCTTGAGGTTTTTCTATAAAACTTTGAATGCAGCCTCCCTCATTATAAACAACAACACCATACTTTGAAGGTTCACTTACTTTTGTTACTACAATTGTACCTTCCTATAAAAAAAATATTTTTGACAATTTGATACAATATTGATATGAAAAATATTTTTAAATGTATTCTCTTACCTTACCATGACTTTTGTGAAATGATGCTAATTCTCTAAATGGAAAGTCGCATATAATATCAGAATTTAAAACAAAGAAAGGTTCAGAACTAGATTCCAAAATTGACTTTGCTAAAGCAAGGGGGCCAGCTGTACCTAATGGTTCAGACTCATGTGAAAACACTAATGATACACCTAACTTATCTACTTCTTCTTTAACTCCTTTTCCATTTGCTCAGCGCGATATGAAACTGCTAATATTACCTGGTACACGAAAAAATAACATCAATAAATATAAAATAATAGATACTTTTTGTAAGGTTTTATTTACTTGAGTAACACCAGCACCAACTAAGGCTTCAATTTGATGTAATAATATAGGCTTATTTGCAAACTCCACTAAAGGCTTCGGACGGCTTAATGTTAACGGTCGCAATCTAGTACCGTAGCCCCCAACTAATATAAGAGCCCTCATTGTGTTTTCTAATTAATAATTAAACGAAACAATCGCAACGTTTATGTATTAAAAGCATATGGCACATAATACTATGCGTAAGCAATAAAAATATCGACGTAGTTCATAGCAAAATAATGATTACTGATATCATTTAGAGATAATAGATAAAATTTTGCATCAAAAGCATTATTTGAGTAACTTGATGGAAAAGTTTTTTTATGTGCGGTTTTATTTCAAAATTCCATTTGTAATAACATAATAATTATAAAAAAAATAATCAATAAAAAAAACAATATTAAGCGGCTAATAAATAATGTTATTAATGATATATGATGACGTCAACTGACGTTTTCAGGCGGTGTCTATTGGTATTGCCATATCGTAGCAAAAATCTCACTCCTGATATTCAATGTTCTTTAGCAGTATTTTAATAATTAATTCATAGCTTTAAATTATAAATACATGAATATTAAATAGATAATATATAAAATAATCTTTGTTTCTGATAATTATGATTATAGATAATGATAATTATGATTGTTGTAACAGATTTGATAATACGGTTTTGAGAATATGTGTGAATATCACATATTATTAATTATCATTATTAATTAGTTATTCAGGACATAAATGATTTTCAAATAACTAAAGTAAAATAAAATAAAAAATATATAAATTTTGAGAAGCTACAGATACAAGTGAAGTTTGTAACAGAACTAGAAGTCCTATCGGATAACACTTATATAAATATCGAGTCGGATGTTTGAGAAGTTCTTTCTTTTAATTCAAGCCGTGGCTTTGGTAAGTTCAAGTTCTTTCTTGTGTAATATGCCGACGTTGCACGTTGTGCTTTATATTGTAACATATTTTATATAGGAAGTTTTGTTTTATCGTGTAATTACTTTTAATGTTATCAAATTAGTGAAAATGTTTGCGGTAATCAAAAGTTTAACAAAACTTCGGCTTGATTTCAGACAAGTGCGGCTAATTGGAAAATCAATAACTCAACCATCTACTTTTATTTCTACATCGATCAGGCATCTTCAACAATTTGACATGTAAGTGGAATGAAATCACTGTTTTAGTTAATTCGTGTACTTATTTTTTTTCCCAAAATCATTTTATGTGAAAAAAAATTATATCTCAAATGTACATTTTTATCATGGCGTCTGTCCGCCATTTTTAGCAGCGTTGAAATAACTGGCACGTGTGTCATTAATTTCTTTTAGTCTTCGTTCATTTGTTGTTTTGTTAATCAGATTCATTATTAATTTTCGAATTCTTTTAAATGTGTAAATATAGTTTATACCGTTTTATATAATATATGTATTAATGGCGAAACTCAAACATCCATGCATTGCATGGATCCGCCATTACGTTTAATCATTTATTGATTAATTGTGTTAGGACTTACGGAAACGAGAACGGTTATGGTGGAAAAAGCAGCAGCTACGGCAATCGCTCTAATGGATTTAACTCGAGTCGAGGCAATCGTAGTGGTGGATACGGCAATAGCTCCAGTAATGGTTACGGAAATCGGAATGGAGGATTTAGTCGCGGTTCGAAAGATAGTTTCGGTGGCTCAAAAATGACTAAACCTAATTGGAGTTCCGAATTTTTGAAACCTTTCAAGAAGGACTTCTATTGCCCTCATCCGAATGTCGCCAACCGCTCTTATCGCGAAGTTGAAGAGTACCGCAATGCTAAAGAAATCACAGTTCATGGAGATGCTCCTAATCCAATCCAGTACTTTGAAGAAGCCAACTTTCCTGATTATGTGATGCAAGGAATAAAAAAACAAGGATACACAGAACCCACAGCTATTCAAGCACAAGGATGGCCTATTGCAATGAGTGGAAAAAATATGGTTGGCATTGCTCAAACAGGTAATAATTAATTTTTTATTAACTTTCTGTATGTGTGTTCGATGCTTAGTTTAAATTTTACTTTAACGTTTACAGGTTCTGGCAAAACCTTAGGTTACATACTACCTGCTATAGTACACATAAATAATCAACCTTCCATATCCAGAGGAGATGGACCTATTGCTTTAGTCTTAGCTCCTACCAGAGAACTAGCACAACAAATTCAACAAGTAGCCACAGAATTTGGAAGTCTTTCCTACGTGCGTAACACCTGTGTCTTTGGAGGTGCACCTAAAGGCAGTCAAGCAAGAGATTTGGAACGAGGTGTTGAAATTGTTATTGCTACTCCAGGAAGACTTATTGATTTTCTTGAAAGTGGGCGTACCAATCTAAAACGCTGCACTTATCTCGTTCTTGATGAAGCTGATCGTATGCTTGATATGGGTTTTGAACCTCAAATTCGCAAAATCATTGAACAAATCCGTCCTGACAGACAGACTTGCATGTGGTCAGCTACTTGGCCAAAAGAAGTGAGAAAACTAGCGGAAGATTATCTTGGTGATTATGTACAAATTAATATAGGATCTTTACAGCTGTCGGCCAATCACAATATTCTACAAATTGTAGATGTTTGTCAAGAACATGAAAAGGAAACAAAGTAAGTAATGTAATATTATGTACTCCATAACAGTACTCTTTAACAAATGATGCATACTATTTTTAAACATAATGCCTTGATGAATAATTGTCCTCTAAGAAGAACTGATGCGTTTTGTATAATTTTTATGTAATTATTCATTATTAGTGAACTAATGAAGAACTTACTTTTAGATTGAGCAACTTATTACAAGAAATTGGTAACACGCAAGAAGAGGGAGCAAAAACTATAATTTTTGTAGAAACCAAAAAGAAAGTTGAAAATATTACACGCAATATTCGTAGATATGGATGGCCTGCAGTCTGTATGCATGGTGACAAGTCACAGCAAGAGAGAGATTATGTATTAAGAGAATTCAGAAGTGGAAAAAGTTCAATTTTAGTTGCAACTGATGTAGCTGCTCGTGGACTTGGTAAGTATAGTAAAAATTAAATTACCTTTTGCATAATTTGATTTCAAGAGAGATCATTTCAATAGTTCTTAGGAATAATTGCTAATACATAATCCAACAGTTCACATACTAAAGTCTTGTTTTGCTATTAATTTTTTCAGAGGCACATGCGAGATAAATGTGTGTAATACATGTGATATTCCGTGATTGGAATGGATATATAAAATCTCACGCACATACTGAATTCTTGCGGTGCCTCTGGCCCGTTGTTGGGACGAAAAATGGAAGATTCGGCACACAATGTGTGTGCATATATGTATCTTTTTTACATATTGGACTTCTGCTTTTCGGCCTGATTATTCGAGCTGTGTGCAGAATTTGTGAAAACAAATTTCGTACAAATTTATTTTGAAGTGTCGAGCTGTATCTTTTGATTTTTATCATTGATATTCTCACCAAACGTGGACTTTGAACTGCTGGCTATGGTTTGTATAATTATTTTTGTTACAAGTCAATTTGTAACTTAATTATTCCAAGAACTTAATTAACAATGCTCAACTTGTTAGTTATCACACTAACTATATAATTTATACAGATGTTGATGGAATCAAATATGTTATCAACTTTGATTACCCAAACTCCTCTGAAGACTATATTCATCGAATTGGAAGAACTGGTCGTTCCGATACCACTGGAACATCTTATGCATTCTTCACACCTCAAAATAGCAGACAAGCAAAAGATTTAGTGTCTGTTTTAAAAGAAGCCAATCAGGTAATTAATTCAATATTTCAAATAAAGCCCCCTTATTTTGGCATGTTGGCTACTTCATAAATTAGTAGAACATGAATGCTGTGAGGGGGTAGAATAAAAGGGGAGGCTATGCCTTCGGTGTTCACACGATTTTTGTCTGAATCCCATCCTCAATGTCTCCCACATTGTTAATATTACATTAGTTATATATTCTTTTTGAGTGGATCTTATGAATACAAAATTTCAGGTTGTGCATCCAAAATTGAATGAAATGGCTTCTAGAGGAGGTGGTAATGGTGGATATGGAGGTTATGGAGGCAGAGGTCGTTATGGTGGTGGAAACAACTATGGTGGATTCAAACGTAATGCTGATAGAAATGGAGGTGGAAACCACAAAAGATTTGAATCATCATATTGACGATGCTGATCTTTAGATAAATTAAATTTACATTAAATTTTTATAAGTATTCATTTTCTCAAATCAGCTTCGAGTGCAATGATATTTGCATTAGGAAATAATTTGACTTAGAATATGACTCTGGCATTAAAAAATGCGGAAATTAATTCTAAGTGAACAAAAATGCATTCCCTGGTCTCTTTTTGAGGAATGTTTTTTTAGGATATTATTTTTTACATTACCTAAGGTTTTAAGCTGTGATTGATTGAAATAGTTATCTATAGATATTTATCCTAATTTATTTAAAAACAAGAAACTTATTTCATATTTTTTTGAATCTGAAAAAATTAAAATAAAAATTGATTTAAATAAATATGGTTTTTTATTCTAATTTCAGATGTTAAATCCTTTTTGTATAATTTACTAATTATGTCAAAAACTACATACTGATTATTTCTGAACTATAATTACAATATCAACTTTTGTAAATCTTCTATTTACAAAGCATGTTTTCTATATACTTTCATAAACAACTTTATTAACAATTCATTTGTGACACAATTTTGTTTCATACTTGTTTTTATATAGTGCCAAAACAAGTGTTAAAATGAATTGTCCATATTTTTGTGTTCTATCTTGGGAGACACATGTAGCTAAGAGTATTTACTTTTTTGATTAAAATAACTGATTTTTTAAAAAGATTGGAGAAAGTATATAGTACTAAACTATTTGAAACCAAAGAAGTGTTGAGCGAGTTTTTCATTTAATAATACGTGAATAAAATTGAGTGACTAGTAATGCAAAATTTTAGCATAAAATGAAAATCTGCAGGATTTAATTGCTAATATGCAATAATAATTATTATTGCATATTAGCAAATTAGCAATGATCGAAATATATTTGTGTGCCTTTTATTTATGAATATTAGATTACTCTTAAATTTTCTTAGTTTAATTAAAGTTTATCAAAATAGATTAATAAATAGTTTACTCTTAGCCATGAAAACAGTGAAAGCATCCAGGGTACCCATGGTAGTAATGGTATCCATGGTATGGATATCCATAAAAACCGTGATACCCGTGGTATGAGGGATATCCATGATAAAAGTGATATCCCCTATGATATGGACGATATCCAAAAAACCTGCGAGCCGATTCCGCTGTTTCTAAATCATTGCGGTTTTGAATGATTGCTATATTCTTATTATTTTCGGATGTTTGTAGCGCATCTGCTTCTATCGGTTTTGATATCTCTGATGGAAATGCATCAACTGCTACAGCAATGAGTACGATAAAAGCTAGAAACTGAAAAATATTTTCTGTGAGTTAAAATTTGTATTTCAACAGCTAAAATTGAACTTAAAAAATATTCAAAGGTAAGTGCAATTTTATTATTATATATTTTTTTCTTTTATTATTATAATAATTTTTATTATTATATAAGTGAAATCTAGGAGGTGAAACAAGCGGAATATGGTACTTGGGAAGTATTTTAACTAAGAATGCATGCTGCACGGCAAGGCAAGTGTCGAAAGACCTCACATGAAAATAGGACTTCCCGTAGGTAAGTTATAGTAATTGCGAAAAATCGAAAATGAAAATTTTTGCATATCTTTACGTTTCAACGGTTTCTGAACATTTTGGCATACCCCAGAAAAAATGAATGTACGTGTGTGTGTAGTATGTATGTATGTTTGGACACAAATCAACCAATATGAATGCTTCAAAAAACATTGGATCCCTATTGATATGAAGACGTCCTAATTAGTTTTTGGTGAAGACAGGTCTAGCCGTTTCGGAGATATGGGGCAAAAAGTGCCAAAAACCGTAATTCAGTTTTTGAGAGAACGGAGTACTCGATTTGAATGATTCGAAAAACATTTTACTTTTAATGACGAAAATGAATAATTGATGAAATTTTTGATAAGGCAGGTCTAGCGGTTTCTGAGATACAAAGGAAAAAGTAAAAAAAAAGATATTTGGTGTTCAAAAATGAACATTAGACGCATGCACATCAAAATATCAGATATTTGATGAAGTGTTTAAAAATAAGTGTTAATTTTTTTTATAATTTTGCTGTACCAAGATTTTTAGTTTTTAAAGTTTACTTATACGGTTCAAGCAAATTTCAAAATTTTCCGAAAACAATAATTTTAAAATTTTCAAAAATATACAAATATCAATTTTTATTGATTACTGTTTTTTTATTGATTACAGTTTTGGTAAAACAGGTATTTAAAAATTTTCGTAGCCAAGATGGTAACTTTAATATAAAAATAAACTAGTGGTGTATGGCATCTTAAGGCAAATTGCTGGAACTTCCCGTACCAAAAGTATTCTTTTTTAAAACATTAAATTTTTTCTTCAATCTATGAAAAAAATTGATTTTTAAATTGTTGAATTGACTTTTTTTAAAAAAATGTTTTTTTTTATTTTGAAATATTTTGGAAATTTTTAACTTTTTTTCAAAGCAATCGCACTGCTTTAGCTGCATAGAGACGAATTATCAAAGCGCGCAAGCGCCGCGTCGCCGTTAACAAAATAGATCACATTATTGAAATTTGGTTACCTTAAAGTTATCGTTTTTGGCACTTTCTCGTCGAAATCGTCGACAAAAATTTGTATCCGCACACACACACACATACAACACATACATCTATTTTTTTAAGGTATGCCAAAATGTTCAGAAGGTTCTGAAACGTAAAGATATATAAAAATTTTTGTTTTCGTTTTTTTTTGCGATTATTGTAACAGGTATTTAATAAAGTTGGCAAAAATAAGGTTCATTTAATACAATTTAAAATATAACTTAGGTTAATTTTAATGCTTTCCTGCCTTTATTCACTCTTATGTTAGTTAAATTAATAGTCACACACAATATTTGATGTTGAAAACAACGCGAATTCAAATGTTCGTTTATTTCACTATTCACCCACCTTGAGCATGGTCACTTTGTAAATGCTTTGCTAAATATTCACAGGCAATTATGATGTACTCGAATAGTTAGCAAGTAATTTATATCATTATACAAAACTGATACGTAGATCTCCCTCCATGACTAAATGACAAATAATATAAAATACTTGAAATCATGAAAAATTTCGTACATGTATTGGTTGGTTAAAATATGTTCAATATGAAAATATTCCTTTTAGCATAATTGTTTACATTTGTTTTTTTTTTGCTTTTGATCATAGACTTGAATTAGTAAACTATAAATTGTCAATAATAATTAAAGTTTATTTATAACGATTTAATAACTTCTTCGAATCTTGTTGAATTTTAAATTCAAAAAATAGGATTCAGTGTACAACTATTCTTTTACGGACTACCTGCTGATAAAGATAATATTAGACAAACCAGTATAAAATTGAATCAAGACCAAGTTAAACTTTTTTTATAACTCGTATTCACTATGGTGATATACTTTTTAAAGTAAATCATCATTTTAGGAGATTTCACAGAATATAAAATTTTATTAGACATTTCGATCAGATGAACAAATTATACAAATTATGTAATCTACATTCTAAAAAAAAAGTATTTTAATAAATAGCACATTTCAATGTTATTATTAAATTATCATTCTCCACTGTTTTAGAATGAGCACTATTAATTTTCATTTCATGTTTCAGAATGCATCCTTTTAATGATGACAACTGGATTAGATTGTATTTCATACACAAGGGGGTTGTTTTGTCCCTGAATACCAAAAACTATTAAAAATAATTTCAACTTCTTGAACAAGGCTATTTGCGTTAAGGTAAGTTTACTTAGATTTATTATATTTATACTGCTTTTTGATTAATTTTTATTTTTTGAAATAGTAATAATCGCAGCCTCGCAGCAAAATTTACTAATCCTGAGTTTATGCAAACGAGGTAATGAGCATCTCAACATACGAGTACAAAAAGGTAAGTTATTTAAATGTTTACTTTGTCTATCTATATATGATACATATAATTTTGGAAATTAATCAACGTATAGTATATATCTTGACAAGAGCCTGAAATAATATCTATTATTATTGATTACGGCTTGCTTATGAATAAATAAATAAATAAATAAAATATACATTTTTGACCAATTTTTAATTTTTATTTATAAAAATGTATACGTTAAAAATTAACAATTAAAATTGATTGAAAATGTATACGTTAATGAAAATGATAATAAATATATTATATCATTATAATATATTATTATTTTTATTACTATTGATACTAATACTTATTACCGCAGTAATATTTATATATTTAAATATTTATGTGAAATGTATAAATATATGTGTATATAGAATTAAAAAGAATCAGCAAATAATTATCAAATTTAAGTAAGTTATATAACCAATCCACCACATGGGCCTGTAATATTTTAGAGAAATATCTTCTACCATCAACTATACTATCATACGATATTTCAATAAATACAATTAATCGCGAACAAATATCACTTTTCATAATTTTTAAAATAAGTTAAAATTTTTTTCGACCGATCCTTCTATGAAGCTAATCAATGCGAATTATTAGTTTCATTTATTATTAGGTTTTGAATTATAATTTTTAATGTAGTGCAGTTAATTTTGAAAAAACGTCGACAAAAGGTAAACACACGTACTTTTTACAATTAGTGAGAGAAAATAAAATTAACGAATTAGATTTTTTGCCAAAACCATAAATTTATCTTTCGACTTTTAAGCTAACTGGTACTGTACCTCATTGTACTTTAAGGCAAATTTGAACTATATACACTATATCTTTTTATATGTTTTGAATTTAAAATAGGCTTTTGGGTAAACTTTGGGCTGTGCAAAAGAAATATGTATAAATCATATTGATGAAATTTCAATGTAGAACATCGAATCGTTTTTTTTAAAGAGCTTTTGAGTTTTTACAAGTTCGATTAAAGAAAACTAAAAAGTTCAAATCTTTTTTCAAATAGTTTTTTTTGACGTTATATATGTGAAATATTTAGTTTTTATTTTCTTTAAGAGATAGATTTTTTATTATTTTGGAAGCATTCGAACCCCTGGAAGCAAAAAATTCAATAACATCCATATTAAGGACCACCCTAAAGAAATATAAATGTAATTTTAATCCTTCATTTTGAATGAATTTTTCAATTAAAATCTTCATAATGTGGCGATATATATGCAAATATGGTACGATACCTAAAATTCTAAAGGAAATATATATTAATCTTATAATTTGAAGTGCGGACTATCTTTTTTATTATTTTGGAAGCATTTGAACCGCTGGGAGCAAAAAAATGCGAAAATATGCTTATTAAGTACCACCCATATATATCTATCTTAATAATATATATCTTAGGGCGGTTTAGGAATTTTAGGGTACTGGGAATCAAAATAAGATACTTTGCCGAAGAAACCATATCTTTAAAATGAAGTCTAATGTCCAGTGCATTGACCCAAAGATTGGGTCAAATTTTGAAAAATCTTGTTTTGGCTCTGAGTGCGCCCCAATAGTGTCGAAATGTATGACCATTATACCAATCCAAATGTATTAACCATATGACCAATCGACCCGCCCTAATATATAATACTTTATGTTAAATGGAATATATTCCAAAAGAAAAAAGAAGACCCTGAAATGCAAAGATATCAAAACAAATATTTTTTATTGTTTTTTTGATTACTATAACTTGCCTTACAGTAATTAATAACTACTACTTTAAAAAATTACTTTATTTTTCATAAATATCAAACAATAAAAAATAACTTAAACTATTTACGAGCAATATATACACCTAAATGCGACACTTTTTAATAATATTTCAACCATAATAATGGCCAAAACCACCATGTCCGAAACCGTGGCCATGTCCGTGATATCCCCCGTGGTAACTGGGATAACTATGGTAGCCTCCGTGATAGCCTCCATGGTAGCCACCATGGTGCCCCCCGTGATAGCCATGATATCCGCCATGGTAGCCTCCGCTGTAACCGCCGTAACCATAACCGTAAACCGGACTAGCAGCGGGATATGCTAAGGCTGCTGCTACCAGCATAGCGAGACAGAAAATTATTGCCTGAAATTATAGAATATTTATATTTAATTTATATTGATGCTTAATGAAATTATTATTGAATGTTTATAAAAATATTTATGATTTGAAAAATGTAGCATTTCTAATATTAAAGTATTTTAAGTTTGAACTTTATTCCAATCTCTTTAGAATCATTGAAAGGTAACGTATTATAACATCAAGTAGTTTATCCGGTATTTGAATTTAATAATTTAGATATCAACAAATAACTTTAGACTATTTTTCGTAATTATTGTTTACAATTTACAAAAAAAATATATTTTCATAACTGTTCTTATTAACTTCACGTAGGTTAAGTTATTGTAATCGCAAAAAACTCAAAAATGAAAAATTTTGCATATCTTTACGTTTCAAAGGTTTTTGAACATTTTGGCTCACCTTAGAAAAAATGGATGTATGTGTATGATGAAATAATGTATGTTTGGATTGCTTATCTGCTAGTATACGACGCGGCGCTTCCGCGCTTCGATATTTAGTATTTAAGCAATTAATTAAAAAACAATCACAATTAAAACTTCCGAAAATCTATTTATTTCAAAGTTTTAAAAAATCTTTTTTATATATATATATATATATATATAGATATATATGCAGAAATATTTAAGGTGAATACCATTAGTTAATGAAAAACGCAGACAAAAATGAAGAATTTTGTTAATATCGCGCTGGAGTCATATTTCCAGTTTATCAGATTTAACATAATTAGCAACATTCTTGTGAATGACATTAACAAATACAGGTAACCCCCGCATAACACGGTAGTTACGTTTCAAAAAAGTAGCGTGTTATGCGAATCCGTGTTATACAGGACGAAAAACTAGTACAAAAATAGGGGTTAAGAATTCAAAAAAAAAAACATGCTACGTATCATGATTTTATAATAAATATTATTATATCTAACATTTTTTTAAGAAGTAATAAACATTACATGGGTTATTTAATTTTTTCCATCATAATTAACTGGTAAGTGCTATCCAACACTATCCATTTTAAGATATCCTCATCCTCTGAGCAGCTTTCTGTACTACCTCCAGACCCGTGCATTATTTTTTTCAAAAACAATTATATTTGCAATTACTTACTTAGATATTTATATATTAGCAAGCAGATATTTATATATTTACCACATGCAACGTTATATTTAGTAACATTTTATGCTCATTTTATTTAAAGGATCTTTGTTTAAGACTAACTGACTAATTGTTCGGATAAGCCTAGAATTTATTTTCTAAAAATCAAACGCGCTCAAATAATAATTATCAAATTAGTTAATTTTGCACTAATTTCATCATATTTATTGAGCTATTGTACTGCGGTTTTATTAATTTTAGATTGAACAAATTTTGATTTTCATAGGTTTTACTATATTTTTTATATTATTAGGGTTTTGCTCAATTCTCAAACTATGTCAGAGTGAATTTGTGCTTTAAAAGCACGGTGTTATACGGGGGATGGTATCGATTCTTAAACCGTGTTATAGAAGTACCGTGAAAATAACAAAAATGATTGCAATGAATAGCTTACAATTTTATTATAAATTAAGATTATATATTAAAAAAAAAACTTATAGAATTTAACTTATTATGTGCTTAAATTGTCATCGGTAAATCAGCATAGTACTAATTAGTTAAAAATGAAATGAACTATTAATTCAACTTTAATTAACTAGCTATTAATTTTTTACGCCATAGATGATTCAATTTTTTCTATTAAATTATGAAATTTAACATCTGAGGTTATACCTTAAGATCCATTAATAAATGGTTAATGAACTAATAAACTAGGTGTAAATGGCATTTTGCCTTAAGGCAAGTTGAAGAAACTTCCGAATTGTGATTTTAAAATTGTGACGATAAAAGTTTGAAACTTTGTCACGACTCATTATTCGTGAACTTTTAAAACTAAACCACTTGTCGTATTGTTATAATGTTTTATGATGATTTTTATAATAAAAAGTTTTATCAAAATTGTAGAAAAAGTTCAACAATTAATTACAAAGAAACAGTTCTTCGGATCTTTACCAAAGATTAAGATTTATTAATAAATGGTTAATAAACTAATAAACTAGGCGTAAATGGCATTTTGTCTTAAGGCAAGTTGAAAAAATTCCGCATTGTGATTTTAAAATTATGACGATAGAAGTTTGAAACTTTGTCACGACTCATTATTCGTGAACTTTTAAAATGAAACGTTATAATGTTTTATGATAATTTTCATAATAAAAAGTTTTATCAAAGTTGTAAAAAAAGTTCAACAATTAATTACAAAGAAACAGCCCTTTGGATCTTTACCTAAATGGGTAAAAACTAGTCAGTATGATTCTTAACTATTATTTAAATAGTTTTTGAATTTTTAAAATTGATTCAGGATTTTTGGCCAAAACATGGTCAAATAGAAAACGACTCGACCGATTTTCTCGCAAAACTAGTCAACTGTAATCTTTATCAAGTTTTGTCCAAGAGCTTTTAAATTTTTGAAATCGGTGCTGTAATTTTTGGTAAAACTTTGATGAAAAGTCACATTCACATACACATATATGTTTATCAATTTTGATATCAAACAATTCAGAATAACTTGGAAAGTCGAGGAAATATAAAATTACTGAATCGGATTTTCTGGCAAAAAATGATTGTTTGAAATAAACTGACACAATGTAATAATATTTGGTTGGGAATTGTGCTGACTGGTTTTAGGTAAAGATCGGCCAGGTCGTTTTCTTGTAATAAAGTGTTAAAAAAATTTTTTCGAGGATTTTTATGATTTTTTTATGACGGTGGAGACTATAGTCTTATAGATCATACTAAAATATTACGGCTCTACGACAAGTCGTTTAGTTTTAAAAATTCGTCAAAGTTAGCAAGAATTAGTATCGTTTTTTTGGCGTTTGTCAAAATTACACCTTTCTTCGACGTTTGCTCAAAAACGCCTGAACCGATTTCAGAAATTTAAAAGCCATTTGATGTACCTCGATGAGAATTATCGTTTGTCAGTTTTGTGCGATGATCTGCCGAGCCATTTCTTATTGTCATATGTAGATTTGTAAATGAGTTTAAATATTAATATCGTTTAAATGATTTATATCGTTTTCTCATGTGTTCTTGTGTGCAAAGAAAATATACATATATACATATATATAAGTATTTATACTACAAATATTAGCGATTCTAAGATTCACTCACCTTGAACATGATTGACACTTGAGTTTTTCGCGCCTAATAAATCACGACACTATTAATATTTGATCTTAAGATCTTTGTAACTAGGTGTTAGTTGCTGGTATATTATGACAAGAGTTCAAATTAATATTTCTTTTTATACTTAATTCAAGTTTCGCCCCCCATAGTGGAACCCCACTCTTCTGAATTCTGATTTCGCGTAATTGTCGTCCGGTAGCAGAATTTATTGCTCTCTCGTCCGATATTCTCGACCTGTTCAAATTTAGGACGTCATCAAATGTTTTAAATTGATCGTTTGCTTGTGACGGTTTCAACTTTTTGGCATAAATTATTCGATCCGAGCGTAGACAATATCGATTATAAAAGGCAATAAAATTTAGTTGGCTGGAATTGGAATATTCTTAAATGTTATGTTTAAATTCCTTCCTTTATGTAAATCTAGCACTTTTATTTTCAATATATAAAAATATACAAGTCTGCGGTTTCATCACAAAACGACTACTCTGAACTATTTCATAGATCAATAAGTAATCAGTGTTTATTAAATCTAGTAATAATAAGTGATGTCGTGTGGAACAGAAAAAAATCAGTGGTCTATTGAAACGCATTTTATATCCGAACGTATAGTAATTATTAACACCCCGTAATTATTAACTTCCCGAAGGAGATTTTATGTTTTCTCGCTGTTTCAAGCCATTCTGAATCAAATGAGATCAAATTTGGAAAATGTATGTGTGTGTATATGAACAGATTTTTTGCCGTAAATCGACATTGTCTGAAAAACGGCTAGACCGATTTCAAAATTTTAAAAGCCGATATATTTCGATTTATAATTCAATGTATGTATCTCGATGAGGACTAGCGTTTATCGATTTTGCGCGACGATCAGCCAAGCCGTTTCTTTGTAAATCGCAGAAAAGTGAAACATTTTTTGTCTACGTTTTAGCCTGCAATTCTGAATCGATTTTGAAAGATATTGGTTGGGAATTGTGCTGATTAGTTTTAGGTAAAGATTGGCCGGGCCGTTTTCTTGTTAAAAAATCGTTAAAAAAAGTGTTAAAAATGTTTTTTTCGACGATTTTTACGATTTTTTTTTGACGCTGGATACTATATTTATTTATTTATTTATTCATAAGCAAGCCGTAATCAATAATAATAGATATTATTTCAGGCTCTTGTCAAGTCTTATAGATCATATTAAAATATTATGGTACTACGACAGGTCGTTTAGTTTTAAATATTCGTCAAAGTTTGCGAAAATTAGTAAATTTCATTTGGCGTTTGTCAAAATTAGACCTTTCACCGATATTTGCTCAAAAACGCCTGAACCGATTTTAGAAATTTAAAAGCCATTTGATGTATCTCGGTGAGGATTATCGTTTGTCAGTTTTGTGCGATGATCTGCTGAGCCGTTTCTTTGTAATTTGGAAAAGTTAAACATTTCGTCCACATTTAAGCTCGTACTGCCAAATCGATTTAAAAAAATTAAAAACTGTTCAAAAGATATTAGTTGGGAATGATGCTTCTTAGTTTTATGTGGAAATCTACCGAGCCGTTTTCTTGTAATTAACTGTTGAAAAAAAAATTTAAGACGATTTTTATCGATTTTTTTGGCGATATATATCATGGTCTTATAGAACTTACTAAAATTTCACGCCCTTACGGCAAGTAGTTTAATTTTAAAAATGCATCAAAGTTTGAGAAAATGAGTAATTTTTTGACGTTTGATAAAATTAAAATTAGACGATTTACTTGGTATAACGATAGAGTACTTGGTCTTAATGAACATACTAAACCATTAAAGTCCCATGGAAACTTGTTCAGTTATAAAAATTATTGATTTTTGAAAATTTGCTTTTAGAAAATACTCCGAGTTAACGTGTTTGTTCGTTTTCAATTATGTGTAATAAATCCACTCGGAATATTTTTAATCACTAATAAATTAATTTATTTTTCATTGATTAAGTCGTTTATTTACACATAACGGGAAGTTCATGTAACTTGCCTCAAGGCAAGATACTAATACCAACTAGTTTAGTATAGATTGAAAAACCCAGAAACCCAAAATTCAGTGTCTAAAATCCAATAATTAAATTATACTTATGATCATAATTTGAAAGTACATTTACATACATTTACAATAAAATAAGCAATAAATTTTATTACTGTTAATTATATTTTTTTTGTGGACTATTGATACATGTGACTAATCTAAAATCGTATTCTTGTTAAAGTAATAATATGTAATTAGGCGTTCTATCGATTATGTACAATAAAAGATAAATAAAAAACAACATACGTAATATGTTCATTGGATATTTGAACACAATGAAATGTTCTTATAGCCTTTTTTTATCCTTCGGTTATTCACCTTAACATATCTTGATGTCAAATATTCTTAACAATAAAAATAACAATTAACAATATAAAATGTATGATCACCGTTATTTTGAACACTTCTATTTTATACGTCTTGAATATGATATTATTATATTCATCTTCGATCATTACACGATTATATTAGGAATGAAACTAAATTATGCATATTATATTGATGCTTGTTCGATTATATTATACATTTGTAAAACTTTTGAAATGCGAGATATAAATCAGTCATTCTATATATAACAAAGCCTGTTCTGAATGATATTTAAGAATAAGGTGGATCAGGAAATAATTTAAAATATTTTATTCATATTGTTCCGACATAAATATGTATTAAGTTGTCCAAAAATTTTTTAACACAAGTTCATAATTTTCCACACATTTCATATACATTTGTTAGTTGCATCTCCAGATTGTGGTGACTCTTTGTGATATTACTTTGCAATCATTTTTGGCGCCTTAACAGAAATTTCATATATACTGAACCAAATATTATGTAAAACATGTGAAAAGTGCTTTTTCTTGTAATCTATTTGTGAAAAGTATGAGAAACTATGCGGTTCGAATTAAATTTTTTCGCTAATTACAACCTGATATCAAACAGTAGTGATGTATGTTTCGCTTGAAAATATAGACCCATTCTTTATTTTTTTATGAACTGCAATTTAAACTTTAGTCAATGGTTTCCAACTTTTTCGTACCGCGCTTTTCCATTTTTTTGATAAAGTTGTTGTGCTCCCTTAATATTTCTAACCTATTTTCATGAGTACTGAATTTATCAGGGCACAAAATACAATATTTTGTAAAAATATACACAAAATTATTTATCTATTTATTCATATTTTTTTTAATTATTTTCAATATTTTCGGTTAATTTTTGAAAATAGTGTTTTAGAAACTGCAGCACGCCCCTATATCAACAAAAATTTAATATATTTCATGAATTAAGTATTTACTTAGGAAGTAGAACCAAGAAACTTTGGTTGGAGTGCGGACAATCTAAAAGTTAATATTAAGAGCTAAAACTTTCAGAGAATTGTTTTTTATCAATTTGGAAGAATTTGAGCTCCTGGGAGCAAGGAAATTCGAAAACATCCCTATTAAGAACCATCAAAGATTCACTGGTAAGCATATTTTTATATCCATTTTCAAGTGGAAATGGTATCATTATAGAAAACTTATTAATCTGTAGTGGTAAGACTTTAGAATAGCTAGGATTATTAAAAGACATATATATTAAATTGTTTTAAAACTTTTATTTTAACAATTGCTAAAGTCGATGATTTATTCTAGAAAATAATTCATAGCATTTTTCTAGTACAAATAAAATTAATTAAACTTAGAAAAACGGATGTATGTGTGTGTGCGTGCGTGTATGTGTGCAAATTGCTGGAACTTCCCGTACCAAAAATTATTATTTTATTTAAAAGCAATTAACATTTTTGAAAAATTTTTGCTTCGAAAAAATTAGATTTTTGAGAAACAATAAATTTGACAAAAAATTACTTTTTTAAAAAAAAATTTTTTTTTTGAAAACAAAACTTTTTTGAAAAGAAAAATGTTTTCTTCTTTTTGACATATTTTGGAAATTCTGAACTTTTTTTCAAAGCAATCGTACTGCTTGAACTGCATAGAGACGAAATGTCAAAGCGCGCAAGTGGCGCGCTGCCGTCAAACGCATAAGCATTGTACGGAACCCATAAAAATGTAAAAAAAATTATACTTATTGTTAAAATCTCTATAAAATATCTGATAATTTGATGTGCATATGTCTAATGATCATTTTTAACCGCCAGATGGCATTTTTTTTACTTTTTTCATTAGATCTCCGAAACCGCTAGACCTGCCTTAATGAAATTTGATCAATTCTTCATCTTGTCAATACAAGTAAAATGTTTTCTGAATTATTCAAATCGGACGCTCCGTTCTCTTAAAAACTGAGTTACCGTTTTCGGCACTTTTTGCCCCGTATCTTTGGAACGGCTAGACCTGCCTTCGCCAAAAACTAATCAGCACGTCTCCTTATCAATACAAATCGGTTGATCCGTGTTCCCTAAATCGTCGACGAAAATTTGTATCCGAACATACATACATACGGAAGGTTTTAGCAATTTGCCTTAAGACACGATGCAGTTAAATAATATTTTTAATAATAATTAAATAATAAATAATTGTTATTAATAATCATAGGATCATCATTTAGATTTTCTAAATCTCAAAAGTTTGTATTAACCTTAATTTTAATCAAAACAAATAGAAATATAGATAGACGTGCGTTATGCGTGCGTCATGTTTCCTCTTACGTATTTTATTTGTAAATAAAACATGTCAAATGCGATCCGGCATCGATATCTCCAAGAAATAATGCTTTAATGAGAAGTTTACATGCCCATAAATGACTTGAATTTATGACGTTTGGTGATTTACTAAAAATTTATTACGTATCAGCAAAATGAAGGTAATATAGTGAATGGTCAGCTTAATAGATTTATTAGGGAATATGCGTAATTGAAACAATAAGTCAGAGATATATTTGTGAACAATTGTTAATTCATATTTGACTCATTTAGATTTCTCCGAATCTCAATAAAAATGTATGACTAAAATGAAATATTTCTTCATCTATGAAGTACTATTGTTCAAACTCAATGGTTATTGTTGTTTGTTTTGCAAGAGTTCATTTAATTTTTATGGGTGTGGTGATTTTAATTTTAAACTCATTAAGGAAAGTTTTACACGCAGTATGTTTTTGTGTTTTAAATATTAATTAATCTATTTATTGGTTGAAGCTCTTATTGTGACTAGTGCAGTACTCGTTTATTTCTATTATTTTGGAATAAAAATTATTTTTGTAAAAATAAATGCCTCCACTTATTAGTTTTAATAATATAATAATAACGCGTTTTAATATAAACTCTTTATATATATATATATATATATATATATATATAAAGCGTTAGACTAATACTTAGTTTAAATTTAAAATGACAATGAGACAAATCTTAGTCACTAATTATTTGTAACTTTAATGTTGCATAATAAAATAGTGCAAAAAATGTCGTACTTAGTCAATTGTTAATTAGTGCAAAAAATATCATACTTTGTTATTTGTAAATTAGTGGAAAAATGTTATTAATATTATTTGCATTCGTTCAATTAAATTAAATAAACTGGTGGTGTATGGCATCGTGCCTTAAAGCAAATTGCTGTAAGTTCTCGTACCATAATAAAATATTTGAAGAATAAACTTTAGTATAACAAATTAGTATTATATTAGTAATAGCATTTTCTGGAAATTAAAGAAGAAAAAAATCCTCAAAAGCAATCGTTTCGTCAACACAAGCAGAAAGTTTTTTGAAGCATTCAAATCTGATGCTTTGTTCTCTCAAGAACTGCCATGTTTCACATTTTGCTCCATATCTCCAAAAAGGCGAACCTTAGCCAAAAACTAATCACCACGTCTCCCCACCATTACGAATTTAATGTTTTCTAGATTATTCAAATCGGATGCTCCGTTTTCTTAAAACTCGATTTCTATTTTTTGCACTCTTTCCTTCGTATCTCCGAAACGGCTGGTCCTGCCTTTGCCAAATCAGCACATCTCCCTATCAATAGGAATGGAATGTTTTTTGAACCATTCGAATCTGTTGATCCGTGCTCCCGAAAACGTGGACAAAAAATTGTATCTATACATACATACACACACATCCATTTCTTCTAAGGTATGCCAAAACGTTCAGAAACCTTCAAAACGTGAAAAAAATTTCATTTTCGATTTTCGGACGATTACAATAACTTACCCTACGGGAAGTTAATTAAGTTAAAGAAAACAATTTTGCAAGAGATAAATAGAATTAAAAAAATTAATCTATCTTCGCTGACCACATACCATATCAAGTTATATGCCGTCTATGGGGTAAAAAGGACCACGTGACAAATTTGAAAACACAAATGGCAAAAAATACATTTTTAAAATGATGAAATATTTGGAAGTTTTATTGAACATAGTCAGACTGTTGTTAGTTTGATATGTGTGTTGTGATGTAATTAGTCTGGTATTCTACTCTATATTATACTATTAAATATTATTAATTTTATCATTTCTCAATCAAAAGGTATGCTTAACTACGTTTATCCAGGACCTGATGTCATCGGAGTTATGTAAAAGACGTAAATGTAGACCATTAATCAACAATTGTATAAAATTCAAGTATTATATTTGTTCTGTTCATTTTTTTGCCTCTTTGTATTTCGCACAATACGCGTCTAGTTTCGGTTGATTGAGCTGAAGATTCTTGAGTTTTTTTCTTTGACGTCTGGCGGACTGAAAAATGAATCATTCTGGTTATCACCAAGGTCTCAGGTGTTGAAAATGCAAAGTAATTATTTAAGTGATACATTAGATACTAATAATATCTAAGAAGTTTTATTATTAACTTCCCGTAGGGTAAGTTATTGTAATCGTCCAAAAATCGAAATCGAAAATTTTTACATTTCTCGACGTTTTGAAGGTTTCTGAACATTTTGGCATACCTCAGAAAAAATGGATGTGTGTGTGTGTGTATGTGTATGTATGTATGGATACAATTTTTCGATCACGTCTTCGGACGCACGGATCAACCGATTTGAATGGTTCAAAAAACATTCGATTCCTATTGATAGGGAGATGTGCTGATTAGTTTTTGGTAAAGGCAGGTCCAGCAGTTACGGAGCTTAAGAGCAAAGAGTGCAAAAAATAGAAATCGAGTTTTTTAGAGAACGGAGCATCCGATTTGAATGATCTAAAAAACATTCAATTAGCAATGATTGGAAGAAGTAGTTATTAGTTTTTGGCAAAGGCGGGCCCAGCCATTTCAAAAACACTAAGCTAAATGTGTAAAAAATTGCAGTTTTTGAGAGAACTAAGCGTTCGATTTAAATGATTCAAAGAACTTTCTGCCTGTCTTAACAAAATAAATAATTTTGAAAAAAAAAATTGTTTCGACTAATTTTTTCAATTTTTTTTTAATTTCTTTGTATATCGAAAATAATTCAGATTTTATTTTTAATTCTGACTATAGTCTAATATACTTTAAACAGTTAATTTCAACTTTGTAATTCAGTTTATATAATTCTTATAAATATTAGACAATGTTACAATATTTATAATAATCTTTTTGAAAACATTTAATATTCCTCGAACATTTTGTTATGGTACGGGAAGTTCCAGCAATTTGTCTTAAGGCACGATGGCATAGACCCCACTAGTTTAATTATGTTATTGCATGCAATCTATTGAATTGTATACAGTGTGTGTATATGCGAGCTTGTATGTATATGTGCGGATACAAATTTTCGTCGACGTTTTCGTGAACTACTCTATGAAGCAGAAGCAGCGCCATTGTTTTGAAAAAAACGTTCAAAATTTCCAAAATATTTCAAAACAAAGAAAATATTTTTTTTCAAACAGTTTTTTTCCAAAAATTTTTTTCAAAGTTAAAAAAAAAATTAATTTTTTGTAAAAAATTTAATTTTTAGTACGGGAAGTTCCAGAAATTTGCCTTAAGGCACGATACCAGTTTTGTCATTATATTCTCCCATACTTAATATATATAACATTGCCTTCGTCACTGAAAAATATGAAATTCCCACATCGTCCATTACCAAGTTATTTAATTTACAAATGTAAAATATTTATGTAAACAGTAATTCAGTCAATAATGAACTGTAGTACTGAATACAAAGCAGTCATATTCATACCACATAAAATTCCCAACTCTTGAAGGAAGCCTATAAGACGACTACAAATGACAAAATCTTGAAGTTCATCTTATGTCGTAATAAATGATTTGAGTCAATATTATTTATTTACTTAAGTTAGAATGAATGTACGAATGAAGGACTTATGATATGATTTCACAGAATAATTAATTAGAGTTTATAAACTATAACTAACTATGTGTAATTGGAAATTCCGGGCATTATATTTTTGAAAGTTTGTTTCAAAATTAATTCAAAATAACTCTTTATATTACATTTTATATTATTACTGCGATATCAGCTTCTACTCAGGCGTTTAAATTTTTATATAAAAGTAAATAATTACAATTTGAATACGTAAGGCAAAAACACAGATAATGTCAAAATGGTGTATTATACAAAATAATATAGACTCACAAATTATACATAAAGCAGTCAATTAATTATTAGAATTCAAATATCATATAAATATCAGCATTTTTTTATTTATACATCAACATTTCAGTAGCTTTAAAATAATAACACAATAAATAAAAAACTATGAAACATTATTTTCAATTATGTTTTATATACCAAAAGTATCCAACAAAAAGGTCAAAACACTTTCTATAAAACAATATCAGTTAACATATTTCTAATATGATATGTAATTTTATTTTTAAAATGAAAAAATATTTCAATGAGTATTTCTATTTATTTTGTAAATTATATGATCGTTAAAGAACTTGTTAATATGAAGTTGTGTTGTGTTAATATGTATTCATTTCATTTAATACTCATTCACATATGTATTTATATATGTATGCGTGCCATTCAGTAGTTCTATAAAATTGTTAAATAATTTTATCTGAAAAAAAATTATTTATACATACCCTTTTTTCATACCTACGTTAAAACCATACTAATTATGAATATTACTGAATAATATTTTAAACCTACAAAAAGTTTTACTTGGATATATAAAAATTTATATTATTTTAATTACAACATTAATTAATTAATTGAAAATAATATCATAATTTACTGTTTATAAATATCTGTATATATTTGATGTTCACTCAAATTAAATAAGTACGTCAAGTCCATCATCTTAAATACTCTGACTCACTCGTTTGTTAAAATGTCTACGAATTCTAAGAATATCAATAATTAATCAATTTAAATCATCGTAAACATATCATTGTGCATCCCATTTGCCTTTTGTTATGGTTTTATGTCGATTTGTGAATCGCAATATGAAGTTGTTCAACAACAAATTGCAAGTTCAATATTGTTTTATTATATTTATTATTTTTGTATATATAGACAAGGCTAAGAGCCGAATTCTCAGTTTGTTATTACACATCACTTAAGTTATATAGTGCGATTATTTAAAAGTGTTATGATATTTTAAAATTAATTATTATGGATATTAAGGTAAAGTATTTATTACTAAATTTATTCATAGATTTTTTTTTATTTTATTCTCAATTATTTTTTTATTGTTTCGCTACATATACAAGATGTACAAGGCGTCTCCACCGCAGAAATAAAGTGCTGCTAATTTTATGCAATTAGAGTGTAACATAAATCTAGAATATTAATATTAATTAGTGTGCTAAATTTGTCAATAATTAAGATTGGTATTAATGTATTAATTTTATATGCATAAATTGAATAGACACGATTTATAACTTCAACATTTTTATCAATGTCTCAATTAGTGCTAATCATAATTGCTTTTACTAACGTGCCATTGTAGGTTCTAATTATATATTTATTTATTTAACGCTCGTGGCAATAATACAGTAACACAAAAGAAATACACCTTATTATGTGCGAATTTAATACAAAAAAACAACAAATGTTTATAATGATTTATGTATATACATTCAATCATATAATAGAGAAGTATATATGGGTAGGTAATATCATTTATGATTTTATTATTCTGAACTGAATAATAAGAAAAATTTTGTTTCAAAGATTTATTTATTAGATTTTTTATATTTTTTGCGTTTTGAGGATATGGAAGTCAATTATCTTCGGGAAATCTGAGGTATTAAAATGTTTTAAAATAAACTTTCAGTAAAAATCGAAGTATATACGATCAAAAATTATAATTGTTTTATATGTATATTGTATATTTACATGTTTTTATTTAATTTTTTCTAGAGTTTCTTATTGTGGTTCGTGATTGGCATTGCTTGGTGTGCAGCGGTGGAAAATACTCCATTAGTAGCAATCACAGAAAATGATGAACCAAATACTCTGAGTATCGATTTAGAACCAGATATGAGTGAACTTGATACAGCAGAATCTGCCCAGTATGGTAAGAAGTATTTTCAATTTATGAATTACTATATTTTAAAAAAGCAAACATATTGCCTGTATTAATTATAATCATTTTTTTAACTTTTTAATTAGTATATACAGTAGAACCCGTTCAAGGTAATTAAGCTTAATACCGTTTGTCATTTCGTTTAACACGAGGATTAAAAGGCATTATCGCTTCAAAAAGAAAATCAGACATTTTGATAAAAAACATAGTTTGCTGCTGAGCTTCCACATCTCAGATTCAACATTTTAAACCATTTTAAAAAATATTGCGGAAATTAAAGAAAAATTGGAGGTGCGCAGGAAAAAAGAAAAATTAGAAAAAATTTATAAATTGAATTTTTTAGTAGAATGGCTTCATCAAGCACCTGGTTTAAAACTTTCCACAAGCAGCCCCATAATAAGGTTTTAATGTTTCAATGGCTGTATAGATAGTTTATCGGCTAATCATGGTATCAGAAGATTATGATTATTAGTGAGAGAAATTCTACCAACTATTTTGACAAATAGTTTTGAGTTTTATTTCGAAATTTAGTTCAATTATTTTTCAATTTTTTATAAACATATAATGAAGTGATCTTTTTTCAACGACTGAATTATACTTAAAAGTATCTATGTCTTTGTCTTAGGTTTTTATCGAGGCGGTTACTACGGAGGAAGAAGATACTACGGTGGAAGAGGTTATTGGGGCGGAGGTTGGGGCGGCCGAGGATACTATGGAGGTAGAGGGTACTATGGCGGTTATAGACGTGGATGGTACGGATAATGTAGTACTTAAATATTGTATGATCATTCAAAATAAGATGTTGATAGAATTTGTACAATAATTTCAAATAAATTGTTGTTAGAATCTCTTTATCATGTCTTTTCATGTAGTAAATTTAGTCTTTTGTTACAAATTGAAATATGTCGATGTGAGAAAAATGAGATATTTTGAACAGTATACAGAATGTATAATAATTCGGCTGCACTGAATATTCGGTTACTATTCGGTATTCGGCATTTTCGGCATTTTTTTTAATATTCGGCCTAATACCGAATAGTTAAAATAAAAGGCGCCGCCGCGCGCTAAGCGCCAGTATTGTTTGAATTTTATATTTTATGCGATAAAGAGCTTGCAATGAATCTGCATTTGAAAACCTTTAGTTTACATAATATGATATGGAGAAATGATTTTGTTATTGTATATAATAATTTGAACTTTATCGACATTTGAGATTAAAAATGAACATGCGAGAAACTTTTTTCTGAATATACAACGGATACGTTATTGTTAAATGCATATATGTTTGTAATCATTCAACGGTTACAAGCATGTGTTGTAAATATGGTCAATAAAGTCTTTCATTATATTCAATCTAAGCATTTCTAAATAACGAACTATATAGTCGTAGGCTCTATATCGCAAAAAACACAAACTATATTCTTGGTCAGTTTTTATCTATTTTATCAAGGTTAACCTTTCTAATAATAATATATAATATAGTATTTATAAAAGAAAATATTAAGCCAGATAGTACATTAGTAGGAGCTAAAAACCTGCCGGTATCGGTCTCTGGAGCATGCAGAATATTGAGTATTGGGTATTTCATCGAATATATTATTCGTTGAAAGCCTAGTAACATAGATAAACAAGTATGCCTAGTAATAATTCATAAATTATTTACTTGCAAAGACACTTTGCTTAGTTTAGAATTATAAATAAATTCTTACAAGATTCCATTTATCAATAAAAATCATGTTATATGCTATGACACAATATTTTAGATGTGCTAGATTCTAAATATAAGATAACATTTACAGATAATTTTATGTAGGCAATTAAAAACTGCATAAATCAATATGTGTAATGTGTATTATTTACGCCTGAATCATTTGAATAATTTGAAAAATTTTTTTATGTAGTGCATAACCTTGGTAGCAGTAAAATTATAAATTCATTGTGGTTCGCAGCCAGAAGTTGGCTGAAGTGTTTATTTTTTATCAACTATATTTTATAAATTTGTTTGTACTAAAATATTATTAATTATATTGAAAAATGTCTAAGTTTGTTAGCGATATCAAGTTACTAATTGAGTGAGCTGTCAAAGATATAATATTTTCTATAAATATAAATTAACCTGAAATTATGTTTTAGAATTTTGACAGATGCTAATATAGAAAATCAAAATTTTGATGTGCTTTGTGCACAAGTGCAAAAAAGATTTAAAAGCTGACCATTTTAATGGTACTTGAATATTTCTGTATGAATACTGATATTTTTAAAGATTGTGATACTTCATGTGAGACTTTTATTCATTTATAGTTGGAACTTTGCTGAGGCTATTGATAATACAAGGTGATTTAGTTCATCCAGCACAAAGATTAGCCGCCTTAGCTATTTTGTATGATTTGAACAAAGATCTACCGCCTGGGCACGCATGCCATGAATCATTATTTATAGATCTCCTGGTATAAACATAAATTATAAATATCAAACAAAATTAAGTTCAGGATCTTATTGTCATAGATATTTCAGATCTAATTTAACAGTTTTCATCTTCTGATTAATCATCTATATAATGATTATGAGTGCAATGTTTTATTATCTCTTTTAGTGCCCTTCAGATTCACTGCTATTTAATATCACAGTTCAAGAACGAAATTTTCTGTTAACATTGATGAATGGAAGTGGAAAAGAAGTAAGAGGGCTCTAAATTATGTTGAAATGACATTCATTTTTGTATTATATTTTTGCTTCTCTTAGATATTACGCAGAACTCCAAAGCAAGTTATTCAAAGTGATGCAAAACCACTAGAAATTGATTTTTCTGGAACACAATGCTTATTAGTTCAACGACAGTCTGAATTATCATCATTATCTAAATCAGCATTGTCAGCTGTTATCCCAGGACGCGAGAGTCCGTGAGTAAACAAATAGAATACTTGGTGTGATAATGATTCATTATTATCCTAGTTGCTCATTTAAAATGGTTTTAATTCAAGTTTGCCTCAAGATCGACCTGCATTATTAGAAACAGTACAAAATTTAGTTAATCAAATTCCAATTCCGATGTTAGATAGTAGTAGCAATATATCATATGGACAAAAAGTTGTTACTTCTACACCACCAATGCAGAGGATTATTAACCCAGAATTTTATACAGTTGCTCCACCTTTGCATGTTTTTGAAGATGAGGTAAATTTTAAAATTAGGAATTAATTTTGATACTAATGTAATATATAAAAGTATATTTTTAGCTTCACATATCATCTTTCAGCTTATTTGGTTAGATCCTCAATTGCAAGAAATACATCAACCAGTATATGATTCAACATTATGTTCAAGTCCAGTATTAGGTTGTGAAGCACGGAGATTGTTAGAGCAAGCTTTTAAAGTTGCTTTACCAATAACACAACAACAGTTACTTTTATCAGAAATTGAAAGGGATGATAGAATTGTATATCGCATAGGGTTATCACCAGCACAGGTAATGCAACTGTGTAAAATTTTACATATTACATACTTTGCATTATAATGAAAAACAAAATTTATTTACAGCTTCCATTCTTAGTAGAAAATAACCCTTTGATTGCTATTGAAGTGCTTTTAAGATTAATTCATTCTTCACATATTACTGAATATTTCAGTGTGTTAGTTAATATGGACATGTCATTGCATTCTATGGAAGTAGTTAATCGGTAAATATCATTGTCATTATCTAATAAAAATATTGCTATCAAATCTAATTAAGCAATAATGTGAAATAACAAACTTTTTCAATCTACAGATTAACCACCTCTGTTGATTTACCAACAGCATTTGTTCATTTATATATAAGCAATTGCATCAATACCTGTGAATCAATAGCAGATCGATATCTGCAGAATAGATTAGTGCGTTTCTGTGTGTTTTTACAAAGTCTAATAAGAAACAAAATTATTAATGTGAAGGTAAAATGAAAAAAACCTATACAATATATCAATAACATGAAATGACTAAATATAATATTATTTCAGGAACTTTTCATTGAAGTGGAAGCTTTTTGTGTTAACTTTAGCAGAATCCGGGAGGCAGCTGCATTATTCAGGCTTTTAAAACAGCTTGATTCAGGTGAAACTAGCACAAATAATTCTACAAATAATTTGTCAATACCTGACAGTGTTTCTTCAGGCAGTAGTCCTGTTCCCATAGGAGAAAATGAAGAAAATTCATTGAATTTCAATTAGTGAGCAGTATATTATATATTTATAATTAAATATTAGACATCCATAATTTGTATAAAATTTTAACAATTTTATCTTTATTTATAATGCTGAATTTATATGACATAGTTTTATTTTTGTAAATGCAAATAAATATATTGTGTAAATTATAAGTCAAATATTCATTGTATTTGAGTGTAATATGAAATATACAAAATTTATTAATATAATATAAGATTTAATATATATATATATTATATATAATATATATTAAATCTTAATATATATATATATAATATATATAAGCTAAATTTGATAATAATTCATGTTAAAGTTTCTCCTTTAGTAACACAAGCCTCCAAATAGTCTATCCTTCGTTCTAAAGTTGTAAGTTTTTCATTTAATACTGCTAAACGTGATCGGCATGACATGTCTGGAAAATATGAATAAATAAACAAAACTATACATAGTATCAGATTTAAATATGTCACTTTATCTTTAATAGGTTTAATTATGATTCATAAAAGAATATAAAATCAGATTTTATGTTTAGTAACAACTCCTGTGATTCTAAAAAAATAAATGCACATTAAAAAGTGACGGTGTACACAAACTTTTGGTTTTTATGAATTTCTTCCTTATAAAGAATAATATGAAATTGTTTGGAATTGTATTGTAAGTGTATAATATAATTAACTATGACAAAACAGTCAAATGTAATGATAAAATTTAAGAGCATAACTATTTCATTTTAAACAACGCTATAATAATAATGATTATTACCAAATGAATTAAGAAAATCTGTTATTTTCTTTATGCTGCCCGTTATAACTTCGATGTATTCTCTATTCGCCCAATCCTGTTGAATTTGTTTTTGAAACGCCTCTCGATGTACGTTTGCCATAATAATATATTTAACTTTATAAAACAAGTGTGTTAATTATATACGAATAATTACTATTTCTTCATTAGTGTAAAGCAAAAGTTTCAATTTTTATGATTTTTTAATTTTGACAACTAAATTGGTCGCCATTTGTGATGAAATGTCAAACTTTGTTGATGTGCTGCCTCATAGAATAAAACTTCCACAAGCAATTTATTTTCCATATTTGATTAAAATATGCATTTTATAATTCAATTCTCTAAATAAATTTAAAATATTTATTGTTTAGTACAATATCTTCATATTCCAAATTTTATTTATTTTTCATTTTATACTGCGAGCTATGTGAACGAAGTTCAACCCTGTTTTCAGTGAGTGTCGGTATATGTCAAAAAAATTTATATTTCACTCGAGTAACTTATATTACAATTTTAAAATGTTATCTATTAGTTTATTGTTTTATAATTTGTGTTAGACGTATGTTATGTGATTATGTGTTCTTCATGGAAGATATAAATTAAACAAAAATGAAAGAAAACGATGGTATATTTTTGTTTTGTTAAATTCCTTTCATCTGTCATAACATAACCTGCCAATCATATCAAAAATTGTATTATTACCTTATAATT